GACCTAATTCCAAGCCCCAAAGAAAATTTCCCTTTATTGATGCTTGATGAGAGCTACATCACGTGCCCATCCTTAAATCAACCTCTGAAAAGAGGAGTGGTATTTCTGTGTGTTTGCTTTGTAGAATAACAATCAACATTAAACTGAGAACCAGGATCCCTTTAACTATATAAACATACAATAACTGAACAAAATGGAAGGACCTGCCCTAAATCCATTCCTCTGTTACTAACAGAAGCTATTAGTTTAAATGCTGTTCTTTCCCTGTATGTAACACAGAGCTGGACTAATATGTGCCGAATGAACAAATGACGCTGAGCTCCTTGCCTTGACCCTGCCAGTAACAACTGTGAAATTTAAAAAAATTGATCAAACTTCTCAGGGCCTCAGTTTCTTCTGCAAAAGGAAGGATTTAGTATAGCTTAAGATGGTCCATTGCTGGCTCTCTTTCCATGATTCCTTGGTGAACAAGAAAGGTATTCACACCTTATGAGTTTTTAGCCTGTCCAGGGAATGGCTGTAACTCTGAGAATTTGTAGAAATTGTCAGCAGGAATTGCTATTGATGGCTAAAGGCACAGTAGCGATCTTCTTCTGAGCCCAGCCGAGGCTTAGCAGGCCAGAGTCTGCATCTGTTTCAAAGTAGTTTGAGCTCAAGGGAGTGAACAGGCAGGGCTCTTGAGGGATGTTTCTCTGGCCCAGTCCCACCCGAAGGACCCTCTCAGGCCTTCCCTCCTGTCAGGTTGCTGCAGCTGGGAAACCGATCTCCATAAGCCATTGTTTTCAAAGCACTGAGAGCTCTGGACTTTCCCAGGAATTCCACTGGAATGTAAACAATCTTCAGATCTGAGGCAGAAGCCACTGGATTTCCTGAGCTGTCACAAAATCACACATGTTGGATTCCAAAGATTCGATGCTTTTTAAAAATATTTTGAGTTTTTTTGACTCATTAGGTATAATTTTTCTCTGTCTCTGTATGTATATATCTGATACCAGTTAATATTAATGATCTGAAATGAAAGGATGACTCAAAGGAATAATGATTCTATAATAAAGATACCACACAATTTTACTTGTTTCTTGATTCCAGAAACTGTTAGAAATACAAGCTCAACAAGTGTTCACCATCTCGTTGGCTTGGTTAGAGCATTGCAATGCCGAGTTTAAGTTTGTTTTACTGAGTACAGATTCCTTCCTATCTTTCTATCCCGAAGTGTCTGCTGCTGGGCGCAGCCCCCCTGTGGAGTGCTTCAGAGACAGAGAGCCACAGGAAGCCTGGGTAATGCTGTCTTGTGTGTTGACACTAACTTCACCTGTAATTTTTTTTCTGTCTCTGTCTCTTCAATTCTCTCTGTGTCACATCATGGCTTAGAAACCACACTCTCCTTCCCCATTAACTGAATGTATCTGGTGGTCAGATGCCCTGCAACATGTCTTGTAAAAAGATTACTCTAGAAACAGGAAGATCTAGGTTTGAATATCAGGGCTGTCCTCTGTTAGCCCTGCGATCTGGGGCAAGTGACCTGGCTTCTTTGAGCAGCTGTTTCCTTATCTGTAAAATGAAGCTAATAATACTCCCCACATGGGATTGTTGTGAAGTTTCAGTGAGAAAGGACATGCAGAGCTCCTAAGCATGGCCTCTCGCAAAGCAGCTTGATGACTGCTAGTTCCCTTCTCTCCTCTCCGCAGCTGCTATTTCCGGGAGTTGCAAATGTTTCCAGGCAAGACCACCTGAAACAGTCCAAGAAATAGTCAAAATGCAAAGACAGCTTCATCCTTGGCCAGATGTACGTTACTAGAATAGTTGCGCCAGGAGAAGAGTCATCTGGCCCAATACACGCTGTGGGGGTTGGGTAAAAAGAAATTCCACTAGAAGATGAGCTTTCACAGATAAATGCTGACCACACATTTCTTTCCTTTTTTGGTTTCCTTTTCCTTTGAAAACTCGCAGGTCTCTGAGTCGTCCCTCTGTCACCTTCCTCTTTTAAAACCCTTCATATTCTTCTTTCTAAGTTGGCAGCTGCTAAGGCTGCATGATTTGAAGGATACTCAGAGGGTTATGGTGCCCCAACCCCCAACTAAGGGGTGGGAGCTGCAATTTCACTCATTTCAAATTCCTTTTTTTAAACATCTTCAGAAGCCTCTGTCAAGATGTAAATGTGGGCTATGAATAGTCGGCGCAAAGCAGTATAGAGGACATTTTGGTGGGGACTCAAGTCTGATGAAATTTTTCTAGAAACTTAGCCCCCCCACCTTTTCTAAGGGGCAGAAACGACCTAGGGGCTGATGATACAAAGGAGGAGAGTTTCAGTCCAACTCATATAACTATGATTGAAAAGTCTCTCCTTGGATGTTTCCCAAGAAGAGGGCTTCAGAAAGTTGGAGAACTAATATACTGATGCCTCGGCATCCTAGAGTAAGCCACAGCCTGAGAGGAAAATGGGTAGCTCAGTCCAATCCCCAACCCCTCCAATCAGACACACCTAGGGGTCGGGTTCTGCCTCCAGGCTGCCTCCTTCAGGATCCAGACGGGCTCCATATCAAGCATCTCACCCAAGGACTCCAGACAGTTTTGATTCACTGAGAGGGAGTGAAGGGAAGGAAGAGGTCCATTCCAGGGAAGCCCAAGTCCGGGTGGTGGGCTGTCATTGTTCCTAGGAATGGCTCCTCTGGGGTTGGTCTCCCATCTTCTACCAAACAGACCTGTGCAGCCTGCCCTGCTGTCAAGGAGTAAAAAATCTCCATGTTGTTTGGAACCCCTACATCAGTGATTCCCAGACTTCTGTTGTTTTTTTCTCTAAAAGAGTAGTAGTGGTAAATTGTTTTGGAATTGCCAAAAAAACAGCATTAAGAAAACCCCCAAAACTCCAATAACATTGAGAGCCATTATTTATTAATACAGACAATATTTTGTGTCACCAAAGAAAAAAAAGGGAGAAAGTCCAGAAAGGTATAAACCTCAGGATAAGGGACAGCTTTTTAAATGTAACTAATTCACATTCAGAAAAAGCTTTCTAAATTGTCCTTATTTTTCTCATTTGCTCTGGATTGAGGAGACTTCCTCACAAATTGGAACGGAGGATCAGGAGACCCAAGTTCAAATCCACACAAATCCACACTCTGATGTTATTCATGTCCTTTGGGCAAAGCAATTGTTCTCTTTGCCCTGTGTTTTGTTATTTCTTAAATGAAGGAATTATGTTAGTTAATTTCTTGAGGGCCCCTCAGGCTCTTTGAGCTGCTATTTCTCTGATTGCAGTGTGGACCATTGAGATCTCTTTCTATGTCTACTCAACCCCTTTTTCTGTACATCTCACACACATTCTGTCTCATCAGTTTCCCCACTGACAACCTAGCTAGCAGTTCCTTCCTAGGATGGGTGAAGGCTTGTCATATCACACAAAACCCAGTAATTTTCCCACTAGTTGGGGAGTTTCCCAGGATTTTCTGCCAAAGATTATTTTGGCTTCTAACAACTTTTTTGAGCTTTCTGCCCTCAGTATTATCATCAACAAAAATCATTTCTTAAGTTAACAAGGAAAATATGGAGAAAAGAATATAAGGGCATGATGATTTCATGGGTGAAAGTCCAGACAGTACATAAAAGATCAGCGCTGTCCTCACATCATAAACCTACCAGGGAGCTGGGATGGGGATCATGGCATGAAAATGGCAGTTTTGAGGGCTACCTGGTGACACAGCTGGTGGAGGGAGGCCAGCATCACCCCCTGATGGATCCAAAAAGCAGCAGAAGAGGACAGAATGATGTAGGAGGTGGAGGAAGGGAGGGCAAGACAAGTGAGGCCTCCCAGAGCCGGATGTCAAAAGGCACTGCACAAGACAGATCCACAAGGGAGAGCTGTGCCCCCAGCTGGGGATGACTCTTGATTCTATGCCATGTAAGGTTGTGCCTCCAGACTCAGAGATGCCCTGAGAGGACTGAGGGAAGATGGTATATCTCTCCCAGAAACTCGCTTTCTGCTCAGCTCTCCCCAACTCTGTTGATGCCAACTCAACCTTCTAGTGCTCAGGCCAAAGCCTTGGGTCATTCTTGACTCTTCTCTTTCTTACATCTCACAGCAGATCTGTTCATAAACCTTGCTGGTTCCATCTTCAGATGATATTCAGAAGCTGGTCGTCTCTCACCACTTGTACTGGGAGCCCAGTGACAGCCCCGGGCACCCCCTACCTGGGTTGCTCCTGTCGTCTCTGGTGCTCCTGGCTCTTGCCCTTGCTCCCTATGGCCTATTCTCAAATAGCAGTTAGCAGAATTCTTTTAAAGGCTGTATCTGGTCACATTCCTCCTTTGCTCAAAACCCTCAACGATTCCCCATTGCAGCCAAAAGAGCAAAAGTGAAAGAGTGAAAGCCCACAGGCCACTAGCCAAGTCACCTTCCCTGCATTTCCTCCCCAAGGTTATTTCCTCCTCAGCCCCACCTCCCCCACCTCACTCCACCTCACTCCAGCCACACCAGCCTCTACCATCCTTCCAGGAATACTCCTCCCTCAGGGCCTTTGCACAGGCTGCTTGCTCCTCCTTCCTAGAATTCTCCTCCTTGCACCCTGTGGCTAATTCCTTGTTGACCTACAAGTCCGCTCAGATGCTACCTTCTCCATGAGGTATACCCTGACCACTCAACTCAAGATCACACACCACTTTCCACACATATGCCCCATCCCCACCCCTGCATTCTTTGTTCTATAGCACTAATCACCATTTCTCATGCTGTATGTATAATTGACTCAATTTATTCACCATGTACCTCCCCTACTCCATTAGAATGTATGCTCTAGGGGCAGAACATTTAATCGATTCTGTTCACTGCTGTATCCCAGCCTTGACTGTTATGCTAGCAGATCTTGTATTACTTTAAATTTGTGTGCCATGGCTGTTCATTGCATTGCCCTTGTGCTTTACTAATTTATATTTTAAATAAATCTTACAACTATGTAATGATTAACACAAATCGCATTGCCTTTGCCCATAAAAATAATTTTATTTTTCAGTGTAAACATTTAAGATAGGCAATTTTGTTAACACTGCTTAGTTATATCTTCATCTTCTTTCATGAACAGTGTCCCTTTAAAAATGCAAGCAGCAGGGCCTTGAGGTCTGGTTTCCCTTGCAAACAAACCCAGGTGGCTATTGACCATGGTGTAGCATTTAGTATCAGTAAGCTTCCAAACAGGGCGGGACTGTTTTGTTTTGTTTTAAAGCTGTCATTTGCACACAACGTATGGTAATCCCGGGAGATTCGTGAAGCAATCATCGAGATCTAAAGGATGGGAACAGTGTGTTCTTTGAAATCCCTCTGACAGGAGCAGACAGTCCCTCCTTCCCTTAAACCATCCCGAAGGGGAAGTGTGTCGGCTTGGACAGTAATGAGACAGGGTGGGAATTCCCCCTTCCCCTTGGTCTCCTTTACACACAAGATACATGAGGGTGAAACATGGGTCATTCCCATTCACGGATGCTTTAACTTGAAGCCAAAGCAGTCTGGGAAGTAAAATATTGGAGAATAAGTGAAACTAACTCTAATTCCCCCCAAACACAATTTTTATAAAAACAAGAGGCATTGAAAACTGCCAACACTTAAACACTGCTGTTTGACAGTGTCACCAATAGATGGCAGCACGTGATCCAGCATTTTTTCACCAATTAGCGGCTTCAACTTGGCTTCTCTCTGTGAATGTCCCCTGAAAATTCTGCTTGGGTCTTAGGTTCTTCAGCTCCTGTGAAGCTCTTCATGTCACCAGACGGCAATTTAAGGTGTGCCATAAAATCCTGGGCTTTCCGACCCCCCTACCCCCACCAAACCCCCCCAACCCCCTTCCTCCCTAGATTAAGCTTCTTGGTGACCTCAAACCATAATCAAGTCAGCTGTGGTACTCTGACCTGGAAAAAACAGTGAGGAAATGAAAAACAAAACAAAACAAAAACCGTACTGTGAGCTTTTCAAGAGAGAATGAGATCATGGCAAAGAGGCAGTTAGCAAACTTGTTCAGAAGTGTCAAAAGACAGAGGGATAATTTTTAATTTTTGTGACTTACCATTTTAGGTTTGCTGTATCCAAACAGGGAGAGCTTATATGTTGAGTGATGTGTACTGATTTGACCGCTGCAGTTTCTTCCAGTTCCAAAATTTTCTGATCTGTGACCAAAAAACTTTCAGCAGATAAATTTCTAAGAGAATGAAATTATTTTGTCTGGGTTCTAGCCAAGGCTAGGGGACCAGCCCACTGCGAGTGTTTGTCAAACTACAGTTCACAGTTTGATTCATGTTTTGGAAATCAACTATGTAGGCCATGAACACTGTAGAAGAATAGAATATCATACAATATAATATAGCACAATGCATCCTATTTACAGGTTCTCAAGTAAAATGTCTTGCTCTGGGTCATAACCAAAGAAAATGTGCAAAACTCTGCTGTGAAGGGCTATATCTGCTTTCAACTGCTGTGCAGTTTCTATAGTGCAATATCAATAAGCTCCTCACAATCAAACAATCTAATTTAACAAACAGAAATTTGGGTGAGTGGGCATGACATTAAAAAGCAAACTAAATGAAAGCTCTCCCCAACCTCTGGTACACAAATATGGAGAAGTAGGTCATTTGTCATCATTATTATCTGTATATCCATAATTTTCCAAAACAACATAATTTCAGGCACTTTCTCTCTTCTTTCATAAACACATTCATACTCATGATGTTACATGTCCTAAATTTCATAAATAGAGCCAGTAGTTAAATCGGTAGGCTAAGGGTCAAAACTTAAATGTCTACAGCAGCTAGGGAGGTAAAATAAATGAATGAGGCAGGTTAGAAGTAGCAAAGTGTTGGATGTCGATCTTAGTTTTTTTAAGTAGATAAGTAACATGAAAAAAAAAAGAAAAAATGAAAAAGATATTGTGCCGGGCAGAAACACTGCTATGGGCTGAATTGTGTCTCCCCACAAATTCATATGTCGAAGCCCTAACTCCCAAGGTAACTCCCAATACATTTGGAGATAGGGTCTTCAGGAGGGAATTAAGGTGAAATGGGGTCATATGAATGAGGCCCTCACCTGATAGGACAAGCGGCCTTATGAGAAGAGGAAGAGAGAGAGGCCTCCCTGATCACACGCCGAGGAAAGGCCGCATGAGCACACAGCATGAGGGTGGCCCTCTGCAAGCTGGGCAGAGAGCTTTCACCAGGAATCACACCAGCCAGCCCGCTGTTCCTAGACTTTCCAGGCTCCAGAACTCTGCAGAATAAACTTCTGTTGTTTAAGCTACCCAGTCTGTGGTACTTGGTTATAGCAGCTAGAACATTCTAACACAATGCCTAAGGCCTCATATGTCCACGGCTCTCAAGGTTGCAGCCTCTACTCCAGTTATACTTGGGGTTGAATGAAGTAAGCCTCGTTCGGGGCACATGTCTACGTCACTTCAAGTATCAATCTTCACAATGGCTTTGAAGTCTAGGTACAAATGTGACAGGGTATTTATTCACAAAACAAATATTTGAAGAGTGTGTGATTAAACCTAGTTTGATGGTAAGCAACCAGGGCAAAAGAAAAGCTGCTCTGAATGCACAGAAAGAAAAGGTGACAGTTTCCAGAAGAGGTGCTCTCCCCAGCTGCAGAGTGAGCATTACCATCACTCCACCCCCTCAGGCCCAGACAGGGACTGGCATCCAGCGGGACAAGGGCTGCGCGGTTTGGCTGCTACTTTCTTCTTCCTTTCCTGTCCCAAGTCATGGTGCCTCCTGGTCTACTGCAATTCATACGTTATTTGATTTGTGGTTTTCAGAATTTCATTCATTTCTCAACAATTATTTCTTAGCTATTGGCTTTGTGCCAAGCACACATCTAGATGCTGAGATGCATCAGTGGAGAACACAGATGAAACTTCCTGTGTTCATGGCACTTGCAGTTGGGTGAGACATGACATATGAGAAAGCTGTACTGTGCATTTCTGATCTTGTTTAGAATAATCCATTCTGCTTTGGAAGAAAACAATTGGGATGCATAAAACTCATATGTAAGCACAGATAATCAGTAACATGTGAGACATGTCAGCAAGAAAGTAGAGCATATGTGCATAGATAGGAAGAAATAGCAGGGCCAGGATATCTGATATTCATGACACTAAAATACAAGCAAGACATTTGATATTCATAAATTCTTAATCTGGCCACCCATTCGGGAAATTCATTCTGACTCCAAGTGACCTTTGCCAAAGAAACACAAATAAAATTTTAGCTGCTCAGCAGGCTCCTTGGCAAGCAACAGCCATGGACATGTACTGGTTCCAGATACCTTCTTAGTCTGCTGAGTCCACACAATCAAGTTCAGTACAGGTCCTGGTAACTATCAGGGAATTCTAGTATGGGAGAGAAAGAAACAGACCTCTGAACATTGTTGTAGCTGTGGACCCAGGTACTATGGGTCTTTAACCCACTTGCTCACTATGTTAAGCTTGTTAACTTACCACATTATTCTCTCAGTGTGAGTTTTAATGGATTTAATAAACCGTGTGTGATTCAATTTTCTTAATTTGATTTGTGAGCCTTTCTGAAAGAGCTTGCCTGGTAGTCTGAGAGAGGCTGTCACTGCAGTGGAATAATTTCCTCTGTGACAGAGATGAAAAGAGCTACAGCATCAAAAATAGAGCCCCGAAAGGAGACGGGAAGTATCTTGAATGGAGTGGTCCAGGAAGGTCTGACTGAGGAGGTGGCATTTGAGCAAAGGCTTGAAGGAGTCGGGGAATAAGACATGCAGATTTCCTGAGGAAGGCCATTCCAGACATAGGGAACCACACGTGCCGACAACACTGTCGTGAGCTTCTCTCCCAAACCTGAGGGTCAGCTAGGTGACTAGAGCCAGAGATGGGTGAGCTGGCCTGTGGGAGATACACTGAGAGGAAGCACAGGGCCATCCGTTCAGGCCCTGCGGGTCTTTAAGAACTTGGGCTTTTACTCTAAAACGATTTCCATTGGAAGGGTTTAGACAGGAGAGTGGTTCCATTTACATTTTCACACGATCAATCTGCTTGTACTGGAAAGGAATAGAGGCTGAGCTTGGAGGTCAGTTAGGACAAGGGCAGGGATCCAGGCCAAAGAGGAAGGGGGCTCAGACCCAGGTGGGAGCAGTAGAGGTGGGCAGAAGTGATAAAATTCTGGATGCATTTAGAAGCAGAACCAACAGGATTTGTGCTTGGACTGGTTGTGGGGGCTAAGAAAGGGAGGAGTCAATGATGAATCCAGGCATTTAGGCCTTAGCACTGCAGGTGGGGGTGCCATGGACACTGGGAGCACAAAACTGGAGAGAAGTTAGTGTGACTTGACTGAAGAAGGAACTGAAATGTAAATAACTTACCAAACTCACATAGGAAGTGAGCTGTTCAATCAATTCACACCTAGGTCATGCTTCCAAGCTCACACTTGCTCTGTTTCTCAGCCCCTTGAGAAGAGTATACAGGGAGAGGGGTACATAGGGAGAGGGGTACACAGAGAGAAGGGTGCACAGGGAGAGGGGTGCACAGGGGGGAGGTGTGTACAGGGAGAGGGGTGCACAGGCTGTGGCATATATAGGGAACAATGTCAGCAGAGCACAAGTAGTAACTAATTCTGACTAGAATCAGGGATCATAGATTTCATAGAGGAAAACTTAACCACTTGGCCTTTAAGTGTGACCAGGTTTGGAGATGAGAGGGTGGTCCAGACAGAAAATAGCCTGCACAGGGCAGGGAAGTACAGAGTGTGAGGAAGATCAAGAGAATCACAAAGTCAGCTTATCCAGTGGTTGGATTACACCATTTCAACAATTTTACTTAAACTCAAAAGAGCATAAAAATCTTGTCACATCAAGTTCTCTTTCATATGGACTCATAGCATTACGCCAAAGTCAAAGAAAAGGAAGGTATTTATTTTCCAGGTGAAAGAGGTCGACTTTCAAACAGATTTTCTCACTGTGCCTGCTAGCGAATGATTTGCCTCACAGGGAATGCCAGACCAATTACAGATGTGCTAATACCAATGTGTGGGGTTGATTTAGCCCATTACATGCAGCTATCCTGGGTCAGGAGCTGAAATGATGTGTACACAGGAGGCATTTTGATATTCCTTACCTCAGCGTTTCTCAGGTTTTAAAGTGCACGCAAATCATTCAGTGCAAATTCTGACTCAGTAAGTGTAATGGGGCCTGAAATTCTGCATTCTATCAAACTCCCAGGTGATGCTGATTCTGTGGATCACAGACCACTTCTGGGGGGAGCAAACCCCAGCCCTTTGTAAAGTGCGTCAAAGCCAACATCACAAGATGGGAAGGCCTAGAAGTCAGAAGATTTGAAGTCTAATCCTGGATGTTATGAAAATGGGCTTAATCACACCTTAATCTATTATTTTGCAGAAGGAAAAGGTAGTAAGTTTCATTAGTGGAGTAGCAAATGGACACTCAGGGAGAACAGAAGGACATGTCAAGTCATCAAGATTCCGAGGATGGAAGACAAAATGAAGGGGAAGAAGCCACAGATTGTCTTCCTGCTGCTGCCAGAGCAGGTCAGCCACACACCCATATGCAATTTGACCTCACGCAGGAGAGGGGCAGTTTGACACTCACAGCACATCTGGCCCCTGTGGCCTCCATTACAGATGCCCCTCCCCAACTAAGAATGTTTTAAAGGGAAAAGCCATGTGAAAATGAAGTGAGCATTAATTAGAGGTGGAGAAACTTGTTATCTAGCCATGCATGCTTTGAGAAGTTCCCATAGGTGTTAGGACGTGTTTGTGTAGCAAAGGATGAGATCATGAGAGCAAGAATTTTAATTACCTAAAAAGATGTCTGGAAGGTTCTGAGCTCCAGCACAGCAGGCCTGTATGAGTTTTGTTAGAGCCAGTGTATGGAACTCATAGCTTCACTTACACGGGCAGATAACTAAATGATGGGAGATCCATGTTCCTTTTGTTATCCTGCTTTGTCCTCTGCTGTCATGGAAGGAAATCCATAGTCACATAGCCCCCTGCTATCTGTTAGCTATGCAGCTGTGGGCCATAAACTGAATTTTAGAATTACCATCTCATCAAAATGATGAATGTTTTTCAACAGTCTAGTGTTACAGGCATGGGCTTGGGAGCCAGACTTCCAGGTTTTAAATCCCAACTCCACCCCTTTAGCTATGTGATCTTGGGCAAATTACTTACCTTCACTGTGCCTCAGTTTCCTCATCCCTGTAAATAACAATGCTAGTAGAACCTACCTCATGTCCTTGTTATGAGTAACTGAACTAAGAGTTATAAAGAGCTTAGAACAGCACTAACATGGTAAGTTCTATAAATGCATGTAATAAACAAAACTGGGACTCACAGACTCTTGGAGATCTGTGGGCCTTGTGAGTTTTTCCAAAATCCGTAACTGCTTTTAAATCTTCACCTGAACTACATGTTATTATCAGCTAACCTTGGATCATGTGGGTGACCACCTTGTAATTGAGTACTGACGTGCTATTTCACTGTCCCCATGTGCACTTGTGTATTGTCTGGACAAAATCAGTAGTTTTAGTAGAGAAAATGAGTGGAAGATTTTAAGCCCCTGCCAGCTCCCAGCGGAAAAGGCAGACTAAGCCCTGACACTAAGCTTGCCAGCAAGAATTTCCATTTTCATGTTAAAAGTAGTCAGGGCATGCAGACCCATCTTTGTACAGACTCATTTGTATAGTAGGAAACACACAGTGAAAACATTTTATTCTCATTTCTAGCAATAATTGGATTAGATACCCACTTAATACACACTGAATAACTGCTGCGGTATGGCCATGTCTTGAGGTGAATAAGGCAGCTCTGTGGAATCAGAGTGACATTTCACAGCCTGAAGCGGGGTTGCTGCCCAGTGGGCAGTACCTGAGTGGGTGCAGTGAGGCTGGCTCGGGGGTGGAAAGAAGCCGGGAAACAGAATGAAGGGCATTTGCACTGGTGAGGAGACGCTGGCACTGCCTGGCTCAAGAACCAAACAGGGAGTGTCGAGTCCCTTCTCCTTCCTTCTGCCCAGCCCCCAGCTCCTCTCCCAGACCCAGGACATGAGATTTTCCTAGTCAACGTAAATTTTGTCCTGCATATCTGGAAGACTCTCACACATGCTACAGTCAAGATATTAGATGTCTTTTACCCTGGTTATGAATATCTAGAACAAAACATTAAACCTTTAATAGCGGTCTAAATAATGCTTTTCAGAGCATTTCTCAGTAATGTTGAATTAGTAGCTGAATTATGCCCCTGCAGTGCACGTATGTGACATGGCTGAGAGGTCATCGTGAAAACTTCTGTGTTTGTGCTTGTTACATATCATGGCCATTGGTATGCACATCAGCATCT